GAGTCTGGCCTTCCGCATCCGGAAGTTGCAGAGCCAGTGGTCATCGTCCCAGAGCTGCATGATGATCCAGTCCCACCAGTCCGAACCCATCTTGTGCCTCCAAATCTGCCTGTCCCCAAAAAAGTTTGTGGGCAAGGGCAGAGCTCCTGCATCCCGGAGGAGGGTCTCCTCAGTGCGGTCCGGATCCATATGGGGCAGGAGATTCATGACAGAGTCATGCAGATGCAGCAGAAGCTGCAGTATGGCAGCATGGGGCTATCACCTGCCCAGAGGCAGCTCAGGCTCCATGTCCAAAAACAGGGTGAAAAGCAGGAAAAAACCCAGTTTGTGGGCAAGGGCAGAGCTCCTGCATCCCGGAGGAGGGTCTCCTCAGTGCGGTCCGGATCCATATGGGGCAGGAGATTCATGACAGAGTCATGCAGATGCAGCAGAAGCTGCAGTATGGCAGCATGGGGCTATCACCTGCCCAGAGGCAGCTCAGGCTCCATGTCCAAAAACAGGGTGAAAAGCAGGAAAAAACCCTGCAAATACACTGCTGTGGTGTCTGCGGAGCAGGGCAACCAGAGCAAGCACTGCAGCAGCTTTGCTTTCCCTCTAGGAGGTAGCGCGTAGCAGGGCAACCAGAGCAAACACTGCAGCAGCTTTGCTTTCCCTCTAGGAGGTAGGCAAGCCAGGAGCAGAGCAACGGCTGTCCAGGGGGATCCCTTTAAGCACGTGTCTTTGCAAAGGGCAGGAAGCAGAACCTGGCAATAAAGGTTGCCCCCATGCCCTGCCAGAAGCACTTCCAGATGCCTTCTTTTTTTGACAAAGCGCCCGGCAGTCTAGACGTTCTTTTTAAAAAAAGCGGATCCATTTTTCAATCCGCATAATGTAATCTGGACGCTCTTTTTCGACAGAGGCTTTTTCGAAAGATACTGTCGACAAAGCCTCTGTCAAAAAAGGTGTTCAGTCTAGATATAGCCTGTAAGTGTAGGCATGGCATGTTTGTGATAAGATTTAATTGTAACTTTTTAAGTGCAAAATTTGGTATTTTATTGATAATTAAAAAAATTAAATATCACATTAAAATAAAAACAGATGCTTTTAAAAATAAAAAAAATCATTGATTTTTATCCTCTCTCACATGAATGGCTACTAGTCAGGCTGGCAGGGATAGCGGCCCTAGCTTTTGATAGCCAAAGGCTAGGAATGGATGAATCACATGATTACCTGTTCTGTTCATTCCCTCTGGGGCACTGGTTACTATCAGAAGATAGGATACTAGGCTAGGTGGACCCTGAGCATCATGACTGGGCTGACATAATTCTTGGCCAAAATGCTGCTGTGTTGACAGAAGAAATCTTTCCTCTACCTAGCTCCTACCTGTCTGAGAAGTGGATTAACTATATCAATGGAAAACCCCCTTCCATCGCTGCAAGAAATGTTTACACAACAACAGTACAGCTGGAGCTCTATAGCTGTGCTACAGTAGTGATGGTAGTGTAGACATGGCTTGATCCACCATGGTTTGGCAGGACTACTGTGGTGTGAGAATGAGATTGAACATGGAATCTTTTGCTTCCTCTTCCCATCACAGTTTATTTCACTGTCAATGTGCTTTGAAGATCTGGGTATAACTTAGCAAATCCCATTTTCAATGTGTGTTTCTCTGTAGAACTGGAATATTAAATTTACAGCTCCAGTAGCCACACTAGATCAGACTAGTGGAGCACAACTGTCAGCAGCTGTACAGAATGCAGCTGAAGAGGTTTTCGAAGGAATGGATTTAAGTGGTGCAGGAGGCCTTGGTAGGTTCTCCTTAAGTGCATTCCAGCATCTATGATTGAATCCTCCTGGAATTCCTCTCTATTTTGAATGGTTTTTTCCAATACAAACAACTCTGTGTTATTGGCAAATTTCACTAATAGATATCCACTTTCTTTCTCAAAGCCCATGGGGGTTCTGCCTGCAGAGTACTCAAATTAGGAACAGAGTCCAAATAAAAAGACAGCACAGTTCTGAACTGAAGATGCAATTATTCTCTTTTATTTCACCTATTTTAAATTCATGTCAGACCTCTCCCACAACAGCCAGAGCTGTGTAATATTTTATGGCTGACCTTACTAAAAATGTCACCCTAGTCACCTTCATCTAGTTCAGGGGTTGGCAGCATATGGAACATGTGCCATAAGTGGCACGCAAAATAATTTTCAGCATTGCACCTCCCGCAAGATTGGAGCCAGCACCAGTTTCCTGCAGGGAGGAAAGCCCCGAAGCTCCGTGCTGGGTCCGGCTTGTGGGGAAGCGCATACACACTGCTCCTCCCCTCCCCACAGCAAAGCCTGTGCTCCGGGGAGGTAGGACACAGAAGCTGCGTGGCCTCCCCCCGCCTGGGAGCCAAGGGCAGGAGACCAAGCAGGGCACACAGTGGAGAGAGCGGTACAGCACAGGGCAAAGGGGGTACACTGGGGCATGCCACTTCTGAAAGGTTGCTGACCCCGATTTAGTTATTTCCCTGTTCAAAGAACTTTGGTTATAGTAATAACTGATGCAAAAAAGTAGAACTAATTTTTTTTCTGAAGAAAGAAACATGTATCCTACTTGCTTCTAATATAGTTAGACGACTATAAGCCTCTTTGGGTATGGATGACTTCATTGTGTGTCTATAACATGCCTAACACAATGGAATCCTGGCCCATGTATGGGAGTCCTATGGGCTACTGCAACAATAACAATTATAATGTTTTAAAACATTTTATTTCTTTATGTAGAGCCTCATTTTTATCTAAACAAATGGTATAATTTGCTCTTTTCACTTCCAATCTTCTCCTCACTTGACATTGTTTGTGTTTTTATCTGCATTGTTTGGGCAGGTAAGTACTTTCTGAAATTTCTTTAAGATTTTCTAAACTCATGTACTCTTCTGCTTAACTATTTCAGGTTTTGCTTGTACAATACTCAGATCTTCAACTTCCACTAATAGTGTTAGTGAATTACTGTATTGACTAGCTCCATGCTTATCCAGTATTTTTGCCATCCAAACAGCTAAACTCAATTATCTGAATAAAGACCAGAAATAAAACAAACCCATTCACATACAATTCACAGAAGCAGGAGGTTACATTTGGTTTATTTGACAAGCAGCAGCAAATTATTTTCTTGAGGCAAATTGCATTTATTCTGCATATGCAGTAGAAGATGCAGAGTGCATGAGTATATGCATGAGATACAATCAACAGGAGATACATTCATCACTAACGCAGCTATACATCAGAATAAAATGAAAGAAAAATAATTCTGTAAACAAACGTAACAGATAATGCTACCCTTGGTGTACAGAATGGACAGTGGCATCAGGCCAAGATGTTGTGTTCAATTTGTCACTTCAGTTTTAGTTTAATTAAGGTCTGAGCCAACTCCAATGAAGACAATGGAAGTCAGTGGCTGCAAGGAAATCTTGTTCAGACCCCTGATGCCCACCATTCCTCCTTAAACTCACATAGCTCAGCTAAAATTGAGAAATGTGAAATTTTACAACATTTCAATAGTCTAATTTTTTTAAACAGAGATTGAAATCCAGACTTAAATTTTGCAGGAATATTTATATATCTGTACAATCTGTGTCTGCAATCGATTGCAGGCACAAATCTAAATGTTTGTCTTCTGACTTGCTCATGCAATCAAGTAAACATTTAAAACAGTGACAAGTACTCAAAATTATTGCTGCTGCAAAACAGCTGACACAATGATTTATGGTGAAACAGTAGGGCAGCACAAATGGACATGTTTTTAAAATGTGGGTTTAAAATGTCCAAATCAGAAAGTAATTTTTTCATAAGAGAACAGTGACAATCCATACAGGTAAATATATATAAAAATTATAAAAATACTGCAGCGTATTTTTTAAGTAACTAATAGTCCTTCAGTTACATTTCTGTGGTAAGATAGCTAGCTCTCAGAAAAAGGAGGTAGCAAAGCAACTAACAGTTCTGTCTTTTTAACTTTCTGAAGTTTTAATTTTTTTAAAGTGATCAATAAAGTACACAAGCTAACCACTCCTTTTCTCTTGCCTTCTTTCAGGTCAGGAATGAATAGCTATTACTGAGCAAAAAGTGAATGAAGCACTTCTCTTTTTAATCTGCAGTTTGTAATCAAGAACAGAAGTACTAGATCTTATGATAATTTATTATGGAATGCCTATCCCATTGCCCTACCAGTTCATACAATCAATACATTTCAAGGCTATTGATAAGTTCTTCAACCGCCTTTAGCATGATATTTTACTAGCAGACAAGAAATAGACCAGTGCAAGGTTTACTGTATTCTTTCATGCTTACATCAAATTCCTGAAAATATTGTCACTGATAGATGCTCAAGACTGATCCTCTCCTTTCTTCAGAGTCCATCCATGCTTTCAATGTTTTGGTAACATGACAGAGCACTGCACAGTACACTGAAGTACAAAAAGATAAAAGCTGAATGCACCCTCTCGCAATACACACACAACTTTACACTGTAAAGCACTCTCAACAGCAACCCATACTGACTGCATGCAGATTAGAAATGGGTATGAATTCTCCTGATTTCAGTAGCCCTGAAAAAACCCACCGAAGGTATGACGGGAACAGCCTTTCATCTCCAGGAATTGTGAAACCAAAATACCCTGTAACTACAATTTATTTTCTTTCTTTCTTTCTTTCTTTCTTTCTTTCTTTCTTTCTTTCTTTCTTTCTTTCTTTCTTTCTTTCTTTCTTTCTATCTATCTATCTATCTATCTATAAATAAACTGGTAATTGTTGTTACAAATCAACTCCACAAGTACTGGATTAAAATTAACACATTTCAAAACTAAAGTTAAGAAATGTCCCATTTTTATAGACTTTTATCTGTTTAAAAAGTAGCATATTGGTCACATCCATTGGATTTATTAAACTCTCTCTGTATATAAACTTAATTAAAAAAACCCTCTGAAAACAACAATGCTAAGAAAAAGTGAATTTTTGTATATTTCTTAACCACTGTAACTCCCCCTCCCCCAGTAACCCCTCACCCAAATATCAGAACACTGAAAGTAATGAGAAACTATTGTTTTCTTAAGACAGTATGCAGGGAATAACATGCTCATGGCATTGAGGGACTGGCCTCAGCCAAGCTGTGCATCAGAGTCAGAGATACTGAGCAGTCACAACTGCCACTGAATTTAATGAGAGAAGCTTGGCTCTTTTGGACACAATTGCTTGATACTGCAGTCAGCCCTGCATGGAATCCCATTTCTCACATGTAGTTTTAACCACTCAGACTTCCTTGAGAGACTCCCATGAGGATAGTTACTCATATACATAAACTTTTGTTGAATCAGAGCCTTCTGTGGCTAGTGAATAAATGTGTCATTTAGGGTACAACTAACCTCATAAAAACAGCAAAAGTTATCTAGGAAACATTTTAAAGGGCAAACTATATTTCAGCATATGTTAACTTAATGGTTTGCAAACTTTTTTTCTTGCAACCCAGCTGGAGAAAACTGTTGATGCCTATGACTCAGCATAAATATTTTTTGAGTAAAGTGAGGGCTCTGGGGTGGGGCTGAGGAATTTGGGATGCAGGAGGGGGTTTGGATCAGGGCTGGGGCAGGGGATTGGTGCTCAGGGTTTAGATGTGGGCTACACGTGGCATGGAGTAGGTAGTTCAAATTAGGATCTCTAATTCGAACTACCATTACTGAGGTGTACTGGTAGTTCAAATTAGAGATCCTAATTCGAACTACCTACTCTGCGCTGGGTGTAGCTGCAGGCAAGGAGTTCAGACTAAGGGACATTTAAAAATGGCGGTGCCCGGGAAGATGCAAATGAAACCCGGGATATTTAAATCCCGGGCTTCATTTGCAACTTCGAATGCCTACATTAGCCTCCCTAGTTCGAACTAGGGGGCTAGTGTAGACATACCCTCAGTGCCTGACATTCTGTGACCCAGTACTGAGTTATAACCCGTCATTTTCAAACTGGTGTTAACTGGTTACGGTGATCCCTAATTCTGACCTCTCCCCCTTGATTAGCCAACATGTTAAAATACAATTTGCCCTGTCTACACTAAGGCCATGTTTTCACTCTGAGAAAGATCTACGCTCCTGAGATCAATCTTCTATAGTTTGATTTAGCAAGTCTAAGTTAAGACTCACTAAATTGAACTCAGAGGGAGCCCCCACTGGTGTCCAGTACTTCTGCTCTTGCGAGGAGTGAAGGAAGCCAATGGGAGTGTTTGCTCCCATTGGCCTCCTGCTGTGGGGACACCACCAAACTCGGCTTAAAGTAACCCTACTCCTGCTACATATTCTATGTAGCTGGAGTTATGTACCTTAAACCAAGCTTCTGGGTCTAGTGTAGACCAGGCCTAAGTGTTTGAAATTAATTAATTAAAATATCTAGGTAAGTACTTTTAAAAAAAGTGTATTCAAAAGTCCATGGGACTCTGCATGGGGACAGGAGTCTGTGTGTGGAACTCACTGAAGAAACAAAGTCTTTGTGTACACATGATTTAAGAGGCAAATCAGTCTTAACATAACATTCTCTTTCTATCCCAGTACTAAACGTCTCAAGCCAAGACTGTTGGTTGTACTGTATTATGCTTTTGTGTTAGGTCCAAATGACATCATCACCACTTTGCCTAGCCCATGAGTTGAAATTCTGGCCAGTAGAGACTGAGGTCTTTTTCCCCTCTTTCCAGTATTTTCTCTTTTCCAATGACTAACAAAAGATATCCGACATACATTCAAGGTAGAATAGCATAGTAAATTCAGACTACCTCATGCGTAAGCTAACTAAGGAGCAATTCTACACATGTATCAGTTAAAGGGTACTCATAAACAATAAAGCCCAATCCCAATCAGCTGAGCTTTCACTTGCTAAACATAAGCATAGAAGGCTCTCTACAGTTCCCATCCATTCCTTAAAGAAGCAGCATTAGTACAACTGCTATGACTTCAGAGAGAACATTATTATTGATCATCCATAGATTGAATCTGAAGTGGGGGTGACTCTTACTTTGATAATATAAAAAATGGACTTGTTAGGACAGTTGTACTAATGCTGCTTCTTTAAGGAATGGATGGGAACTATAGAGAGCCTTCTATGCTTATGTTGGCAGTTTTTCAAAGGGACATTGTTAAGGGCCCAAAAGCAAGCTATTCCGCTGCATCGGAAAGATAGAAAATATGGCAAAAAACCGCCTTGGCTTAACCATGAGATCTTACACGATCTAAAAATAAAAAAGAATATTTTTATTCTTATAAAAAATAAAAAATGGAAAGTAGGACAAATTACAAAGAATGAATATAGACAAACAACACAGGAATGGAGGGGCAAGATTACAAAGGCACAAAATGAGCTCAAACTAGCTACGGGAATAAAGGGAAACAAGAAGACTTTTTATAAATACATTAGAAGCAAGAGGAAGACCAAGGACAGGGTAGGCGGGTAAGATTAGAAAGGCAAAGGCACAAAATGAGCTCAAACTAGCTATGGGAATAAAGGGAAACAAGAAGACTTTTTATAAATACATTAGAAGCAAGAGGAATACCAAGGAGAGGGTAGGCCCACTGGCCAGTGAGGAGGGAGAAACAGTAACAGGAAAATTGGAAATGGCAGAGATACTTAATGACTTCCTTGTTTCAGTCTTCACTGAGAAGTCTGAAGGAATGCCTAACAGTGAATGCTAGTGGGAAGGGGGTAGGTTTAGAAGATAAAATAAAAAAAGAACAAGTTAAAAATCACCTAGAAAAGTTAGATGCCTGCAAGTCACCAGGGCCTGATGAAATGCATCCTAGAATACTCAAGAAGTATTCTAGAATATAGAGGAGGTCTCTGAGCCTCTAGCTATCATATTTGGAAAATCACGGGAGAAAGGAGAGATTCCAGAAGACTGGAAAAGGGCAAATATAGTGCCCATTTATAAAAAGGGAAATAAGAACAGCCCAGGAAACTACAGACCAGTTAGTTTAACTTATGTGCCAGGGAAGATAATGGAGCAAGTAATTAAGGACATCATTTGTAAACAGTTGGAAGGTGGCAAGGTGATAGGGAACAGCCAGCATGGAATTGTAAAGAATAAATCATGTCAAACCAATCTGATAGCTTTCTTTGATAGGATAACGGTGGATGAGGTATACCTAGACTTTAGTAAGGCATTTGATATGGTCTCCGATGATATTCTTATCAATAAGCTAGGCAAATACAACTTAGATGGGGCTACTATAAGGTGGGTGCATAACTGGCTGGATAACCGTACTCAGAGAGTAGTTATTAATTGTTCTCAATCCTGCTGGAAAGGTATAACCAGGGCTCGACAAATTATGGAAAACTCTACTCGCCAGACAAAAAAGGGACTCGCCACCCTCCCCCCAAAAAAGTGTTTTTTTATGGCATAAAGTCCTAATAAGAATAAGAACAGTAATTACTAATACGTTCTTAATAAATATCACCCAAGTTATTAATAAATATCTTATAAACCTCTACCTTTTCCCTCTACTGCCATGTCTCTTCCCCTTGCTCCATCAGCTCCCCTGGTGCCTGCTGCCCCCCAACTCCTCACTCTCCTCTGCTGTCCCGACTCCTGCCCTTCTCACTGCCCTCAGCCCTCCTGAGACCTGCCCCCCTCCGCCAGCCCTTCTCTCCCCCCTGTGCCCACTCCTCCAGTAGCCCCCCCCTCCCCCCCCCCTGCCTCTCTCCTCTGGTGCTGGTTCCTCCCCTGCAGGTGTCTGCCCTTCTGCTTCACACCCAGAGTCCCCTGACACCTGCACCTTCCCTTAGCCCTGCACCCTCCTGATTCCTCCCTCCTCCCTCACTGCCCCTGCCCCCTTTGTCCTCTTTTCCCCTGATATCCACCCCCTCAGCACCCTCTGCCCCCTTTCCCTCATGCTCCTGTGCCCTTACACATGCCTTGCTCCATCGCCACCTTCCTCATGCCCACCCCTTCTTTCAAGCCTTCTCCCAGCACCTCCCCCTCCTTCCTCTAGCCCCCAGTGACCTTACCCTCTCCTCTCCCAGCATCACCCTGTTCCCCCCTCCCACTGACACCTCCCTTCCTGCCCTTTTCTCATTGTCTGCACTTGGCCCCCTGGGATTTGTCTCTCTTGCACCCCTGTCCCTTGGTGCCTTTCCCTTTCTTCGTCTTCTTCCCCTGACCTCCTCCCCTCCCCTCAGCACAATCCCCTTCCCCATATTTTCCCCCCTCCCCTCTCCTTCCCTCCCCTCAGCCCAGCCGCTTCCCCTCCCCCAGGGCCAAGCAAAACATTTCCCTCCCTTTTTTGTTGTCTTTTACACGTTTGCATTTTGTAATGGTTTTTTTTTTTGTTTTCATTTTTGTCCCACCATTTTAGCCCAATAAATAGCAAATAGCATTTTTGTTCATTTTTTTTCTATAAAGGTAAAGGTGCTTCAAGTGAACTCCCCCTTTCACTCA